TACAAATTAGCACCGTAAGATGTAGATATCACTCAACAGCAAACTAAGCCTTTTCCCACTAGGTATGCTCGACTCCGACATGAATCCTTATGCACAATCTATGTAGATGCTCCATATCTTTCCTCATCAGGTCTCTCCCCTCTTTAGGCCTTCCGCTGTCAGTTTAAACCCAAGTCTCCATCTCCGATTGTAACTCTTCACTGCAGCCTCCAAAAATGTTCGTTCAACATGACCAAGCCATTTTAAATGAACTTATCTCATTTTATCCTCCATTGATGCCCAACTAATTTTGCCCAACTTATTAATTTCTAGTTGTCTTTTTTGGCGTGCCTGCACACCCAATGAAGAGTTCTCATCTCCTTTAATCACTTTGTGCAAATTTGGGTGTTTGACCATCCAGCCCTCCATGCCATAAAGCATAGTTGGCCTTAATGGTCATCCTATTAAATTTTCTCTTAAGCTTAAGTCGCATCAATGGTCATACAGAACAACAGAAACACTTATCCATTTCATCTATCTTACTTGTACCCTATGGGTGATACTTCTGTTGATTTCTGCAACATTTTGAAAGATAGATCCAAGAAATTAGGAGGTTCTCTTTGACATAACCCGGTCTTCATATCTTATCAAGATTCATTTGAACTCATACTTTCAAAGAACTTACAGTTCATATATTTTGTTGTCAGTTGACTTAGCCAAAAACTCTTCGCTTGCAGAATCATGCTCCTCCCTATACAAGCAAATTCTACACCAACTCATCTACTTTCTTCAGCATCTTAATAAGAATTCACACGATACAAACGAAAGCACATGTAAAGCATATCAGCTTATCTAGATGATAAACAGAATCTTCTAGCATGGATTCTCTTAACAAGAACATATTACTGATTTTAATTTGTCTCTTGAAACTTTATTTTCTTGCATGCATGCTCTTAACAAGAACAATTTTCCAATTTTAATTTGACTCTTTAAAACAATCTCACTGATTCCACTTCTTTATATGTAGCCATCCTAATACTATTATACTTTAACCCCTAATGTAGTATGACCGTCATCCAGGGGCAGAAATATGGCCCCTTTGATTTTCCCTAGACACTAGATATTTCACAATATGCGTGGAAGGACTTTTACATTTTACATTTTGCTTTTCTAAATCTTACAGCTCATGCACTTTGACTTATTTTAATCAGAAGACCTGATAATTTCACAATATACAAAATTTGACATGTAGATTCATGTTAATTTTTCATGTTTCCTGAAATTAGAATAACGTTTTATATTTTTTATGAAAAAGCAAAAAAAGTACATTTTGCTTTTCAAATTCATAAAAACGGACCCATAATTGAAACTGCAATGTAGCTACCATTCTCAATCACTTAACATTGCTCATTCATTTTTCTAGCACACTCAGCAATAGCATTGTCCTTTTAAGGTTTCCTCTTTGTTTGACTTTGCAATCAAATCCTCATTATTCTTTTACAAGCTCTAAGCATCTAGTTGAAAGCTCAAGCTCCTTTTAAGGTTTCTCCTCTATACAACTTCGCCAATCAAATAATTGTTTTCTTTTACACGCTCTAGGACTTTAATTGAAAGCTCAACAAATTGCAAATATTACTCGAGAAGTAGCATGGAACGAGGCCCTCCTTATGAATAGCAATGAGTCAAGTTTAATGAGGTTCCCGATCAACCAGAATTGCTTCATGTGGGATTTTAGTGCTATACATCAACAATACATACATACAAACACACATACATAAAACTCAAAAGAGACAAGGCCTGTATGTTTTTTACCTCCAATGATCTGAATTAGACTATGTGTCAAGCTCTGAGTATGTCAAAGAAGAAACATTTCTTTCACATAACATAGGTTACCAAATAATTAAACAAATGAACTTATGAGAGACAACCAGCAAAAGTTAATTAATATTAATGGTCAATACAACACTTGCTGTCATTTAAATACACATAATTTTAAAATCATTTAAAAATGTTTGATAAAGAATCAAAATTCTAATTTACTAATGTTCAATTAAGAATCAAAATTCCCATCCATCCACCAAGCAATCCTACATTTTACATTGTCCTTTTCCTGTTAGCATCAAGTTTCAAGTAGAAAGACGGATTTGGAGTCTTGTTTAAGAACCTACAGGTTCTTCTTGGTTAGTCAGAATGATGTGATCATAAGGGAACTAAAGGACAAAATAACTAATGAGCAATCGAAATGATAATATTGTCTAAGATACAATGTTTGGTAACACCTCAGAATCATGACAGGATGTTTCTAAACAGGGAAAATGACATAATTGGTCCTTGAGCATTGGCCCAATATGCAATGTGATCCCTGAACTTTAGCCCAATGTGTCATGTGGTCCCTAAACTTTTAATTTGTTCAATATGGTCCCTGAACTTTTTGGTACCTGTTCAATTTAGTCCCTGAACTACATGAAAATATTCAATGTTGTCCCCAATTTTGAATGGAAAGACAACATTGAACATTGTCATATAGTTCAGGGACTACATTGAACATGCACCAAAAGTCCAGAGACCACATTGAACATTAGGCTAAAGTTCAGGGACCATATTAAACAAATTAAAAATTCAAGGACCACATTGCACATTGGGCCAAAATTCAGAGACCATTTGTCATTATCCCTTCTAAAAAATTTGAAACATGGTAGAATCATACCTCAACAATGAGAAAATCATTAAGAACTTACCCAAAACAATTAAAGAAAAGAGGAAAAAAATACAAGAGAGGAACATCACTCTATGATTAATTGTTATCATGCCATTAATGTTCCTCCATTTAAGAATTTACCTTTTCTGTAAGTCATGCTCATTCCTTCTGATTCAATGAAAACTCAGTAATAGTCTCTTCCATTCCCACTATTCCTTGTAATTAAACATGACTATTGGGTTAATGATGAGTTTCGGATTCATTAAGCAGGAGAACCAAATCTGGAATCCAACCAGTACCAGCCATCTCACTCCAATACTTCATTTATCGGTATTTATCCTTTTCTTATATGGTCAAGAGATAATCTACTTCACGGCACTAAGGGTTACAAACCAAAAAATAAAAAAAATCTAAAATACTTATTCTCTAGTTAGGTCCTCATGCTTGCACAAGGTATTAATTCAAAATATTATACACAATAGACTGTCTCTAAATACTATATATGTCATGTATAATCAATATAGATTCCTTGCACCATATAGATGAACTCAATAGACTTGAATCTAGATCATTAAGTAGATTAGACTATCTAAGTTTTATAAGGGTTTAACATAGTCATTAAGTTTTCGATTAACATAAAATCAACGATAGCCACATGGATTTGAGATAACAATTTCTTAGACAATTTAAGTTTCATAGTAGATCCAATAATTGGCATAAATAGAGTATTTCGGCGGGAAAAACACACATCAAAGACCACTTGGTATATTTTTGGTACAGTGAAGACTAAAAGATGAATAAGTTGAGGAATGCAGAAAAGGCAAAAAAGTTTTTTTTTAATCGAAATTCACTTTAGCAAACCAAATTCGGCTACTTGCTCCATTTGTAAGTGGTGATGTTAAATTTAGGATTTACTTTAATAAAACTACATTTTGAAGCAAATTTTGTTTCTGTAGTTTAATTGAATGCTAAGTACATTGTGATTTAGGTTTTAATTCACTATTTATGATTCCTTTTTAGAATTAAACAACCGTTTTTACTTGAGTTTTTCTGGCAAAATTTTCATTTGGCAAAATAAGCACTTGCCCCTTGACCAAATGGCCAATTGGCAAGTTTCCATGAAAAGCACAAAAGCTTCTCAATTACTGCATTTTATGAGATTCGGCAAGAAACTACATATCAGAGAGAGAGAGAGAGAGAGAGAGAGAGAGAGAGAGATTAGTTAAGGTTTAACATTTCCAATTTCTCTGCAGTGGCACTTCCTTACCATGCCAAAAACATGGACATATTACTTTTGCCGGGAAGAGGATGACCAAGGTGTACAGGCTATCTATGGAACCTTGCACCCACTGTGAAAGGACACACCATAATTTCCAAGTTCTCAAAACTAACAAACAAGGTTTAGCACTGACATCTATCTACCCTGTCCCTGTAACGTGTTCACTGTCCTTAACTAACAAACGAGGTTTAGCACTGACAAGGCAACTGGAGAAAGGTAAGGATTAAACTTTATCCGGTTTCGCATTTTCTCTGCATTGAATTTGATATTTGCATTTTGAATATGATATTAAGGTTGAATTTCCAATAGCCTACCAATTTTCTTGCAAATACAAATCATAAAAGACAACCATTGGATAGACATGCATTTGATACAAATGAAACTACTAGTGTTTTACACTCCTCATATTCATATGTGAATTCTTTAGAGAAAAATTATAGATTCTTGAACCAAAGATTATCGATAAAGGTGGTGGCAAAATAGATCATGGATCCATTATTTAACTCAGATTTAGTGGGTCACGTGATATATGAGTTAGCTCAAACTTTGAAAACAGGTTGTAATGCGTTTGGTAGAGTAAAGCCAACTGTATATGGGTTTTAGAGGTCTATTTGTCAACAGGTTCAACAGGTACTATTTTGTGAACCAACCAGCATTGGCCTAAACTCAGATTCTATGGATTGTGACTCAAGTAAACTGGTCTCTCAATCAATCTGTCGAATATGTCTCAAAGCATAAAGGTATGTACATACTTCATCCGATGGCTCATTGTTCAAACAACGAAAAATGTGTCTGATACAGGAAAGGATAGGTTATTGAGAGTAAAAGCACAACTCTCATCGATTAATTAGGAGCAAAACATTAAATTGCGAAGGTTCAAGACAAATGAACCTTTCATTTAAGAACTAAGTATGTGAATCGTCCTGAAAGCCAATAGATCCAGAGAGCCCCATCTCTTCTTTTAAACCTCAATGCTTTTCTTTGAAGCCAAACTTCACCAAACAAATGCTAAAGAAAAGTATTTTCTTCTTTAACAACCTCGACTATGATAAGTACCTAACTCCAACTTTAGACTTCATAGGAATCGACCAGATCCATAACAATTTCAGCATAAAGCCAGCATCCACCAATTTTCATAAAGATCTAAAATAAAGAGAAGAAAAAAGGAAATTGATGAAGAAAGTTGACTTCAACTGTACATAATGATCACTGTATTATATACACTTCTCTGAATTAACTATTCTACAAACTTTAGCATAGTCAAATGGATGCCTGAGAATGAGACAGGCAGAAGGTTGCAGCTGAAAACAGAATGTGGATAGTGACTCAAAACATCCTATCGCCTCTGTTTTCTGCTTGGAATTTGAGTCTTTATGAATCAATTAGGAGATCCTGAGTGACCAAGAGAGGTCAGCTTAAGGAAAAAAGATGCTGAACTAACGGACTTTCACCAAACCAGGAGGAATTAGATATGATGTAGAGGATGAGACGAGGGCAATAAAGAGCACTATATCCTATCCTCCACGGTAAATGACAGGCTGAGATCAATAGACCAGAAAAAGGTAGCAAACCACTCCATGAGGCTCATGAGCATATTTTGGCAATGAGAAACTTCTGCACAAAGGAAAGCGGGATATAGTTGTCAGCAAAAGAACTAGATGTACAAACAAACGACTTATACACAGTAATGATAGCATCAAAAGCCATTGACAGAATGGAAGAAAGGGGGTAAATTGAGAACAGAGTGAGTAGAGTCATTCATGTAGCAAAAGAGAAGAGTGCAGATCCTAAGCTTTTGAATTTAAGTGCCATAGGACAGCACGATCAGAGGTAAAGGTGGTTGATCAGACTATATCTGAAGAGTCGCAATTAACACATACAACTAGCGGACAGAGTTGGAAAATTCCAGCTTACATTTGAAAAACCAAAGTTCTTGGTTTCCCAGCTTTCGATTTCAAGTGACTTTCTCAGATAGTCCATCAGGAAACTAATCTTGATCCCCATTTCAGGGTTTTAATATGTGGATACTCTAGTCTGTAGCTCAATCTAGTCACTTAATCAATAAGGAAGCAAAGGATCATCTGGTCAGCAAATATGATCTGCTGAAGCACTTTAGCTACAAAATACTTCTTCATAACTGTCGGGGAATCCAATCTTAATGGGCCATCTAAAGCTCTGCCTGGTTGGCAAAGAGACCAAATGGCCAGAGAAGAGAAAGCTTAGAGGAAATTCACATTGATGGTTTGAATTCTGAATACAGCCATCCCAGGACATTAAAAATTCTCGGATTTATCAGCTTCACTTTCAAGATTATTTGGGGATTATGCAACCCAACGATGAGAAGTCCAGTAGAGTATTATTAAATAGGCATTTCTGAATATATTGATAATTAGGTATATAGGATAATCTAGTTAAGGTATAGTTCGGTAGTGCTGTAGCTTTTGATGCGGTAATGTGATGTGGTGCCATCACTATTGCTACAAAGGTAAATGCAACGTATATTTCAAGGTAATAGACAACCTTCAAAACTATGTAAAAAGTGTCTTAAAATTAAGTTTTCTTGTCAATATAAAATTAGGATCTTATAAACCTTCAAAGCAACATTTTTAGAAGCATCTATTTAATGTTTCCTAAAAGCAAAATCTGGATGCTCTGATAAATTAAGATATTCCAACTTTTGAGATGTCAAAAACCATCAAAGAGCCAAAGCACCACCCCAAAAACCAAAGCCCTCCCCAATACCATCTGACTTCAACCGGGCTGTTCTCAAAGAAATCTCTAGCATTTGTCCAGAAACCATCGTCTGAAGAGAGAAAACAGTCTTCTTGTTTTTGTATCTTCTTCACCTAAATCAGTACTCTAGGCATCTGCCTGTACATTGAACATCAATTAAAAATGAGCTCTTTCAAAAACAGTCGAAGTTCAAGAAAACACAATCCTTAGCTACCTACCTGACTAATTTCTTAAGCCTTCATTCAGAAGTCTAGTCACATGAAATGTACCACATTAAGGCCAAAAATTGGAAACTCTAAAAAACCAAGACAGTATGATCTGAAATTAGTGTGCCATCTACCCCTTGAATGAATCTCAGGGAAGGCTGTTAGAAGATTAAACCCCTTGCATACAAGAAGGCTGAGAACAGTCTGAAAGCCAAAGGAAAGAGCAACTGTATGACATAGAAAACTCTGATGCAGCTACGGTTCCAGCTTTGTCCTCATCACAAAGGCATTATTGAACCATATTTCTATTAGTCTCAAAAAGATTAAGTCTGCCCAGAACTGCCATTCGAGACCAAGGAATATCATGATCTTGTGGTGAATAGGATCAAGCAAACAAAAGGAATAGGCAGGACAGAGATACAGAGCATCAATTGATGGTAAGGAGAGACCGAGACACACAAACAGGAGCCATCTCATCTTTGTAAGCAATCTCATATATTTGCCTTTGGTAAGGCCCGGGACATGCAACTTAGGGATGGAATATTGAAGAGCATCCTCATTTGGCTGCGTATTTTCGTGTAAGGTGAAGAACTTAATAGGACTTCACTCAGGACCGGCAATACAGGACAAAAATTCAAGAAAAAACAAAGCAGCAGGGGGTAGACATGCAGCACGAAAAAAAAAAAGTACGAGCACAAGATGAGTACACACAGGATAAAAGACTACCGCAATAAGGAGGTTAAAATGAGAGAAGCTGGCGAAAGATGTTGATTAGTATCTAGTCTTTCGTCAATGGATTTACATGCAGAAGGGGGAAAAAGAGAAGCTCAAAAGAAGGCTTATTGCCAAAGGCACACTTTAAAATGATGAGAGATGTTGAATACTCATATATATTAAGCCCACCAACAGCTACCCTGGCCGTCTTCTTTTTTGCATCAGGCAGAATTATAATCCATCCGGGAGGAAGCTTGAAACTAAACTAAGGCAGCATTTTCCAAATTGCAGCTACCATAGATTTAGTTTTTGGATTTCACAAATACATTACTCCACACCAAACTAACCTAAGTTTATAATTTTCCTGCTCAGCACAAAAAAAGTCTTTATTTTCATGTTGAAGATCACCAAATCATGATTTAAAGATGACAGGTCAACTACAGCACAACAAGTCAATGGGCAATGGGGGTCAGCCAAAACAAATAGTTCTTACCAATCTAACTTCTTCTTCATCCATAACCACCATACATATTTCCAGTTTATCAAATTTAGATATTCCCAAAAAAATGATCTTGTGCTGTGACTGGAGGGAATACTAAAGGAATGTCTCAACATTTCCAAAAGCATAATGTAAACTCTTAAATTTATATGCAAAAGACCAGAGTAACTCTAAAAGCTGACATACCATTTCAATCTCCTTTCCACTCAACCAAATCACTGCGAGGCACATAGAGCTTTGCTGCTTGCTCCTCTGCTTCAGTGTCATTGACAACCCCACGACATCCAGGGAAGCCACAGTAACAAGCCAATTGTTCGTCAATTGAGAAAAACCTAAGATTTATAGAGTGAATATCAGCAACAAAAAACACTGTAAGAAGTAGAATACATGGAGGAAAACAAACATATGCAGATCATTCAAGAAACACATTACCGGTAATCATAGGTGAGCTCTTCCCATCTTTCAATATCCCTTTTGGCAAAGATAATAATGTGCTCATCACCGTCAACACTTATGACTCTAGAATAACAATTTGGCTGCACAAAGGTGAAGCAGAGATGAAATCAGAAGAGTACCAAGGCAGCAAACATATGGCATAACAATCTTGTATTGATCCTATGGCATGAACTGGTCATATATAGTGAGAGAGAGAACTTTCTTGACGTAGAAAAGATGACCAGCTGCTCACATAGAAAGACAGTGACCAACATGTTGGCACGCTAGATGCACCATTATTCAATTCATCTACACCACAGTTCGGCTACAATCCTGAATCTTAGCATTACTAATGCACAAGCTTGCTTAGTGTACTCATGACAAGTAATTTGATTTTTTTTTTCTTGGGGGGGGAGGGGAGGGCATGTCAATAAAGTTTAAAGAACTTATATATACTTTAATACAAGACATGATTTTAGTTAGCCTGCCATAAGATAACCAAACCTACAATCACCCTAGTTTGGAGGAAAACACTTGGTGTTCTATTATCAAGCAATAAAGTCCTTTAAGCCCGTTTCCTTCCTTTTTATACGAAAATAAATAGCACTTCACATATATTAACAAGCAAAAACTATAATGCTCAACATATCCAATTATAAAGCGGCAGAAAGTGCAATATAGAAGAAAAATGCTCACCTCACACGAATGATTAATCAGATGAGCAATGCTTCCTGCTCTTGTGGCATCAATAACTCGTTCATCATCAATTCGGAACATGTATGTCCCAGCACCCTGCATGAAAATGTGGAAGACAAGAAAAGATCAATGGTTTCCCCTGTCATGTAAGGTCAAGACAATGCATGCAGAGGGCCTTTCAACAACGAACCAACTATGCCTTCACCAAAAATGCAAAGGTCTCCCAACACATGCAAACAAACAGGAACAAGTTGCTTCAAGTTAACTGATCAGCAAGGTAGTGTAACATGTATCTTGAATTGAATACAAAGAGCCAAAGCATTTTAGTTCTGTCTGAAATGAATCATTATGCTCAGAATGCAGTATGCGTTTTTTAATCTGAGAGACTTTTCTATATACAAAGAGGCAAAGCATTTTAGTTGTCTGAAATGAACCATTGTGCTCAGAATGCAGTATGCATTTTTGTATCTGAGAGAATTTTCCTTCAGTGGTGTACCTCTAAGGAGTACTAATGAAGTTCGCAGAAAAACAAAAATTTGACAACATTCACTCTCAAATTAGAGATTGAGGGAGAACCCACTGTGCCTGTTTCCATTTATACCGTGTGTGCTCCTGTATTTCACCTAGACAGTATGTTGCTAATACTTATCCAAAAATTAGCATACCTCACCATTTTTTGGCCAAAAGAATACCTCAACTCTAAAGACACAAAACTGACACCATTTAGCTTAGAAGGGAGAAAATTGAAGATCTTAGCAAACACACTCAGGAAAAAATCAATCGCTCTTGACATTTCATACTCGAAAGGCTTTGATTTCTCTTTTGGAAGACCATCAGCACAGAAACCTATTCATGGATTTGTTCTTCAGAGTAGAGGACGGAACATTCATACACACATACAATCATAAACAGTGTAATGACATTGTTGCAAAAACAGATCTGAATGTAAAGAGAACCTCCAGATTCTAGCTTCATCATGCAGCACCCTCATTCGAGGAATTCATACAGCCCCTCATCCTTTACAATGCTGTCAATGCCAAAACTCAATCGGAATCTTGGTCATGTCTAAGACATGCATTTTGATTCTCCAAACACGAGAAAAGACAGTCACAGCATGTAGACAATCTAGATGCACCTCTATTCAACCATCCACAAGATGTTCATTTGATTGTTTGGTTTTTCTTTAGAAACTTAACAGATAAACAATACATCACCCCAGGACATTATGGAGCAATGCAACTTTGACCAAATTTTTTTGCCCCTTCAAGTAGCAAGCAAACCAGACAGCAGTATGTTAAAGTATGTTTATCTTCATCTATTCCATTTTCTTTTGTTTTCTATTCACTTATACTGGTGATAGCATCCATCAAATGCCAACGTCCCTGATGCAAAAGCAGTACAGTGACAACATCACGTCAGAACTCACCACCAGTGAATTGTATATGAAATGTTCTCTTCTGTCGGCTATAGGAGGTCGAACTAGTTCGCCTGAGTACTCAATGACCTACATAAGGAATTTCAAATTGGCATAAATTCATTAATCAAATGTTCATAAAAGAAAGAATTACAAACGGATTAACAAACTGCATACCATATCCCCTGCCCTGTGTGGCTGCTTAGCGAAGATACCAAATCCATGTATTCCTGATTTCCCTAAAGCGATGATCATCCCACGACCACAGCAACATAGAGATATATGAATATAAGTTAAACCGCTAAGGAAACCTCAACAGATTAATTATGACAGCAGAAAGGGAAGATGATAAAGGTTACAACGAGCTGACTTTTTTTCTTTCTGATAACATAGACATTATATTTAATAGAGCAATAGGAGAAAATTCTAAGCAATCATGCAAGAGAAGATCAAATCTCTTGACAGAGCCAACAATGACAAGCAGAAATTCAAAACTATATATTTTTTCATTCCAAACCTTAAAAACAATCTCCAAAACTCTAAGTAATGGTGAAATGGAGCATCAAAAGCAGTCAAAACTACCTTTTCTCTTTGTTTCTAGCATTTGATCATTGCTTTGCAAATGCATCTTCCTTCTCACACTTCTCTTTATCCTCCCTTCTAAGAGGATCTCCTTTCTCTCTACTCAATTTTTTTTTTAAATTGGTTTTTTCTCTAATCAAGGTGAAAACTAAAAGATACCACTATAACAATATATATAGATATATATGTTCAACTGTTGTATCATTCGTTATTAGTATGATGACAACGAAATAAAATAATTCTTTTTAACTAGAATCCATCAGTTTCAGATTTAATGCTAGGTCCAGCTTCCTAGTTTCAGATTTTATTTCAGAAGCCATACGTTAAGGGGTAAAAGTCCCTCCCTTAACCCACCATCGGCCAAACACACATCTAATACCATCAACAGGTACATTCAGCATCCCTGTTCCTTTTTCCCATTGTTGTGACAATAAGAATGCAGCAATGCAATTAATCTCATAAGAAGACAAGCACAACAAGCAGCGAAATTAGAAAAATTACTAAAGTTAGGCAAAGATCGTGTTCCTTGTTAGCAATATTTCCTTCAAAATAAGGGAGCACTTGAAAAGTAGTCAGAATTATTGTTCGTATAAACTTAAACAATAGCTGAAACAAAGTCTCCCTGCTGTTCTGATAGAACATTCTACTATCTGGCAAGAAAATATGTCTAGAATCATACAGACTTTAACATATTAACTGCATAGCACAGTCCAGCACTATTTTGACATTAATTCTCCAACCTAGTAACTTCTAGATAGTGAAGAGTCTAATTTGCGAGTCAGCACTCATGATACAAGCTAAATGAAGAACTTCAATAAAGAAGAATAGATCGAGTATTGGAAGAACCAATAAAGAATGCCATAGCTAACCTCACTTCCTTAAAAAGCCAAATATTATGCTTACCAAATGCTAATCTCTTTTTAAAGGTCTGCCTCATGAATTTATACTTCTCCGCCATAGAAGATACGCTATCAGAAGTATCAACTTGATGGGACCTTAGTTTGTGAAGGCGAGAAGAGTACTTGGAGACGACTCCATTGGAAGGCAAGCCTGCCAATAAATGTTGACTGTACCCACCGACCAAGTAAGGCTGGTTCTCAACAAAAAGGCGTTTCAAGGATGCAGCAGCAAGTGCTTCAGGTTCTTTCCGTCCTCTTCTCCCAAAAGAGCTGTAAGGCTCTGCCAGACATGGTAAAAGGAAAACAATTTTATCGACCCAAAATAGACTTTCTATAGCAATTTCCAACATTTGATGCGTAGGGGTTAATAAAAGATGTAAAAAGAAAAAAGTAATGCCATAAAGCTAATCGCCTAGAAAGCTATCATAAAGAGAACGCAACTTGAGCAATTAACCAACCCATGGCCCCATTGGCAGACGACCAGAGTAGGGAAAGCTACGCTTACCACAACGAGCACATCCAGATGGATTAGAGGGCGGGTTGTAGTTAGAACATTGACGCTCAACTTGATTGACGTGCTCGTCTGAACCAGGACGCTCATTAGATGGTTGTCTGTGCTTCTTGCAGAAAGAGAGAAGACGAATGCAGTGTTCTTCATCTTCATCATCTATTGAAAGGAGATGAAGCCTTTCCTCATCCTCAAGCTATTAAATAACAGAGACAGAAGATAGCAAGTCATTGATCTACCAGAACTTCATGAGACTCATGCAAGCATTTGGCCCCGAATTTATAAGTTTCTCTGTAGGCAGTTTCTTTTCTTGCTTTTGCCAGTTTTAACTGGCCGACAGTTTGCGCATGTGTATAATAACCAAAATTCCAGGGGAAGATCAAAAGTACCTCGACACAAAGACCAGCTGCTCTTGCACACAGCGGATGATATGCTACTCGACAAGTATTGTTTGAGCACTGTCAACAGAGGCACTCTGTAAGTCATCTTGAGGACAAGAATAAGATTTTATTCAACTCGACATTATAATTATAAGACCTGATAGGTACTAGACTTCTAAAGCACCAACCCAATAACAACCTTTCCTCTACTCTTATTTCCATCTTCGTCCTTTTTTATTTGGGTCACCGTGACCTCCGCAAGTATTTTTCTTTTTATGTTCACGTCTTTTTTTTTTTCTGTTGCATACTTCAAATGTGATCTTATGATAGATAATTGATCTAAACCTTCGACGCAATGCAAGTCTCAACAATTACGTCCATTTAGATATCGTGTGGGACTTCTGCTTCTTAAATGAGAAAGAGTGGACCTTAATTTAACAAACTTGACTTTGCTTAATTGCAAGAGTTAAGATTACTTTGTAAGAAAAAAGAAGCAACTGATGCCTGCATCCTTTGAGTGCGCACCCCATTTCACAGAACTAGAGATTATTTGCATCTTAGGAGAGCCTATCTCATGTGAGCGCTCATGAAAAGAAGAAATGCAAGTTGACAAAGAACTTCCTTCCTTGTAGTAAACCATTCTAAAGGCCAAACTTAAGTAACAAAACATAATCATCCATATGGAGACTTACTTGGATACAGGCGCCATATTGTACGCCACAGATGCTGCACAACAGCTTCCAGCGATCCTAGGAAAAGTTCAAGAGAATATCTCTTGCTTAACGACCGTAACTTGGTTATATTTGTAAAATAACACTTGAGAAACTCACTAAAAAGGTCTACATGAATCAATGTAACAAATCAAAGATACCTTGTTAATTCTACTGATACCATCAATGGGCTCCATTCTCTTCACATCGGACAAGCAAGTTTCTAAAGCAAAAGAGGATCATATGGCATGAAACCATGAATTTAATTTAATAAACTTTTGACCAATCAACCATAATGAGAAGGGGAGAAAATCCAAATAGCACAAACCTGGTATCCACATAGCACAAGCTAAATGAGCCCATCGGCCGTCAGTTGTGGGTTTCATAGCACCCCCTACACAAAAGTCAATGCAGAGTTTAGCATGTAATAGTAGCAATATAGGACAAAAATCTAAGTAGTACCTATAACTGGGCAAAGACAGCATGGAGGCAAAGGATCAGGAGCCCCTGGGCGACATAGATTGCATAACCATAGTACACCGCCTACGGGCTCTAGCTCTCCATAGCATTTAGCATGAACCTGAACAAATAGTACAAACGAGTCGATAAAATTAGAAAATAAATGGTGATAAAATCTAGATTCCGCTCAAATCACGACACAGGAAAACAAATGGACAAATTAGGTGAAAAGTGGAACAGGAACATGGGCTAGCATCAAACTCTATACGAACTTCTTCATGTACACCCTAGCAATAATACATAGCCAAAAGATCAAAGTGCACTTGGGTCCTCACCATCATTCTGCATTTATCGCATTGGAGGAAAAGATTGTTTGCATACTCCTGAAATTAAAGACAATTATCAGGAACAAACCAAGGTATCCATTGTGTTAAAATCATGAGTAACAATGAAAGAGGGGGTTAAATAGATTTGCTTGACATAGAAGAAGCCTTAATCCTACAAACTAGCTAATCAGCCAAAAAGAAGGCACATAATGACAATGATTAACCATATTTAAATTGATAGATAGTACTGTCGAGTAAGGAACAACCAAAATTAGCACACAAAGAACCATTAAGCTGCAAAAGCCTAACCATGATGAAGAAAACGAAGCTTCACCTCATCCATATGACAAACACTGCATTTGTCAAGGTCTTTCCACTCAACACGAACAGGTCTATATCCAACTGGGAAATCTCTAAATTTTCCAGAAGCTAATTTGCTCATAGAGAACTTTGTCAAATGTCTGGATTTTGACAAACACTGTCGATAAAAACAGAAACACGTTTAAGTTGGGATACAAAATAAAGCAGATGAAATTAACAACCAGACTAGCAAAATGTTGATGTTGAAATGGGAGCAAAGATAATGTCATTAGGAAGAAGAACAGCATACCTGTATAAGTTTCGCTACTTTAGGATTAGAGAAACCAAACATATGTGAACCATGTTTGAACATCGTTTGCACGCCAGCTTCAGCATTAAAACCATCAGCCATACCGCCACATGCCTTCTTTAATCTTTTGTAAATCTTATCCCAGCAAGCAGATGGTGTAGACCCTTTAAACTGGAATACATATTGCCAATGTCAATCATCAAATTCAAGTAACTTAGTTTAGGGAAACGATGAGTAACACAGAGAATAGCCAAGTATGTCTCTAGCAGAAAGCATGTACCCAGTCAGAAAAGGAGAATATTGTACAAATTGTTTGGATGTGAAAGATTCGATATAGAAAGAACACCAAAACCGAAAGATGTGATATTTCAAATTCAGCCTCACTAAATTTTAGCCAACTAAATCAAAGAGAAATTTTCTGGTAAATCACTGATGTTAGTGAGTGATTGAATGTGTATCTAAATCCCTCATGTTAACCAGCGATAAATTTATAATCTCTCACACTCTCTTCCAGTTATATTTAATACACTCCCAGCAGATATAACTAAAAGTATTCAGTTCACACTGGAAGGACATTTTGCACATAGAAACTATTAATGGTGGTACAAAGCAAGATAAGTGAACCGATCTCAATGTAAACGAGCAGCTAGGTCCATGCATAGGGTAGGAAACAATGAAAATGAGGCTGGGAAAAGATAGTTGTATAGTCTAATTATCATGACAAGTGGAAAGAGCCGCATCTAGATATAAATTAAGGCCTCCAAAAGCAATTATATGGTTGATAAATGTAATGTTTCTTCTATCTATGAGGTTGGGCATCTATGTAACCAAAGTATGCATAATTCAACCATCATAATCCATTAATACAACCTCAATATCATCATAGCACAACTTAATTGAAATTATCAACAATGCACCATGCTTTATTCCACAATGTCAAATTTGACCACCCAAAAACCTATGTTTTCACAACCATTCACAACCAGCCCAGCGTGCAAACTGGTAATTAAGGACCTGTTCATTGCACTGTTAATTAAAGTCATTGTCCAGCTATGTCAAAACAGGTAGCACGGAATAGTGGTCAGCAATGTATGCACAAAAGTTCAGTAAACCTAGATAACTTTGTTTCAAGGGCGTCAACCAGATAGAAGTTCTATCACCTCACCCTAGAATCTAGTCAAACAAGTCAAACATGGTTAACTAGCACCAAAAAGGAAGTGCAAGAAAAGTAAAGAAAAGAAGTGAATAAGTGGACTGAAAAGCTATAAGGTAACATGAGATTGCAAGGAGGTTATTCCATAAGAGAGCTCCCATGAGGACAGTAAATCATTAAATCAACAACTACTAAGTAAAAAAGAAAAGGGGCGATCACTTGTTAATCATCTATCTATTGGGGTTATCATATCAAACTAATCCTTGACAAGACAATTCCAAGCCTCTTGTTGGTTATAACAGAGAATTTGAAAAGGTACTCTATAAAAGTGTATGTTCTGCCAGAGATGAGGAATCTAAGGTATTGTCGCAGTGTAACTATCAAGGCCAACACTGACCAACTTTTGTTCTATGGATTTCGGAATCCAACTAAGATCAGAGACAGCATTAATTCTTCATACAGCTGCAGATGTGTGCACAATATGCCTATGCTATACTATTGAGCAAATTCCAGCTCAAGCTAATAGAATATGAAAGAAAAAAAAAACTAAATCATACCATATACTATTTCCTTTCAAAATAGAGAACTTTCAAATGAAATTCAAAATCAACTTTATCCAACACAATGTACCTGCTCTCCACTATCTAAAGTTACTCTAAATAGAGGTCGGATCTTCAACTCTGGGTCTCTCAACACCTCCATTTTATATGAAGCACGAGCCCTTGGATCTGAACAACACAAATAGAAGGTGAATAAACAGCAGTTAGTTAAATTTCGACCAAAAAAAAAAAAACAGTAGTTAAATTCAATCAAAGTAAGGGCAAATTCAATCGATCCCTTTTTAACTTGTTCCATTGTTCCTCTTTTTTTGGTCATCCAACTCTGGGGACACTTTCAATCACCTGAATGTTCTTCAAAAACTTTCAATGATGGGCTTGTTGATAAGCCACAATACTTTTGACATGTTGAAGAAGTGCCCATTAGTCTCCATTAGTCAACAAGACAACTTTACATATCGTTAAGTTTGGAAACTAAAGCACGGATTATATTTCTATATACTCAATTGAATCATTATATGCACCCTAGGATTCTACTTTATCATCAATAGCTCACTTGTTGACGCTATATTGTTTTCTTATGAAAAAGTACATTTCTTTAAATGTACAACTCAATACTTGTATTTTTCAGAAAGGTGATTTAGAGGATGAGGGACCTAAGCAGCCTCAAAGTAGAATGACCAACTACGTTGATGATAAATAATTATGTTACCCTTAATTGAAGTAAACTTCCTCACGGCAGTATATCCTTCTGGCCAGATGTACTTTCCATCTTGAAAGAATTCTGAGTCCCTCACGATCTTTCCTGAACAATAATTGTAAGAGCTTGTAAGTACTATGCATGACCCAATCCCCAAGGATAATAAAAATTTGGTAAAATACCAAAAACATACCTCACCTTTCACTAAATGACCACTTACATACCTCTACTTTTAGAAAAACCAAATAGATGAGTTTTATCTTAGCATATCACTTTGCACCTTCACAATTATCCTAGTGTCCCTATTTATAAAAATGCAATTTTCTTTCCAAGAAGGCCAGTCCCCAAATCCTAAATTCTCACACTCACCCAAAACACTCAAAATCAATCAAAAACCAAACCAATCAAACCCTAAGCGAGTTTGCAAGGAGAAAAAATTTGGTCTTTTCAATGTAGGGTTTTGCTTAGAGACACGTGAGTGGTATTTGCAAAAGTAGAGGTATGTTAGGTGGTCATTAGGTCAAAAGTGAGGAATGTAATTGTTATTTTTTGCCACTTATTTACTTCATGCAGCTATGATTAAAGTAATTGACAAGAAACATTGTGCATTTGAACTTATATGCATTCACTCCATGACATTATCCATCACTCTACATCTATCATGAGTCATGGTTCATAATATAGAAGTACGCTTGACTAGAAACGCAAACATGTTGTCAGAAGCAGTGGCATTTACCAAGGCTAACTACTTGCAGATCTCCCAGTACATATGGAAGGGTCCCAAGGCCCTCCAATTTTCTTTGGCTATTTTCATTGCTCATGCAGTCTTCAGCCGAATCTCCACTCTCTCCATCTTCATCACTAGCACTTCCACAATCATCAGTGGTACGGCCACTCTGCAGCAGAAGCATTCTTCTGGGAAGTTTTTGTTCACTCAGATATCTGATTGGAGCAGAACAGCTTAGTTAGTGCCAACTAAATTTAAACCTCATCCAATGGTGTCAAGTTCAGTCAAAACTAAATCAAATCATTTGACCCAAGCACCTTAAATTTCACGATTTCTGGTATAACAATAAGAAAGACTAGGGGGAAAGAGTTTCTCGAGTATGTGGATCATTTCAATGCAAAAGCAGGAAAGTCTTGTCAAGTAGTTCCACAGAATAACCACTTTTCCATCAAGACACTCTACAATTTTGTCAGACTTATTGACTGAAAAGCAACAGATGTCCAAATTGATTAATTTATTCAAGCAAGTTATCTTCCTTCAATTTGTGTTAGAGAAACACCAACAGTATGTATGTATGAATGGATGGAAAAATGCATGCAAGCGTGCACATATAGCAACAACATTCAAACAACCCTGTATTCTGTCTTCTCTATTTAACATTCCAAACAAGAATCTGTACAGCTATAACAATCATGTGCAAAACTCAAACATCTCATAACATGATCAACGAAAACTTCAGATAAACCGCTGCAAGTGCAACATTCAACTGGAAGACTTCAAGAATAACTCACGTTTTTGCTTCTTCTAGAGCTCTAATGAAGCGAGGTTTCTTGCATTTCAAGTGCAAAGAAGAAAGAAGTCCTCTGAGAAAGGAAATAACCTGCTTTGTCTTAATCCTGAATAATAGCAAAATCAGAGTAACATACAGACAAGTCAGTGAGCAAAATCATATATATCCGACACTGAAAAAATAGTCCTTGAGAATACAAAATTCCAAACCTTGCAAAATCATGGGTACCGAAAAATTGAACAGAAACTGATCTGCCAACAGAAGTTTTATTTAAAATCCCCTGAGCACTTATGTGGGATTCGTCCACTACAAGCCCAGGCCACATTGCATGACCTATCAGAAAAGTTATATGATTGGTTTATATGGCAACTAGTGAATCAACATCTAACGAATAGAAAGATAGCAAAGGTACAACAATACGAACTTCATGCAAACCTAAGCTTTTCCAACAGCAAGACTTCGCAGTTCTCAAACGTGACATGAAGTATTAAAAGGCAAAAAAAACAAGCCAAGATCAGCAATAGCATCATTAAGGTATTACATTGAAAATATAAACCGATGTTTTACAACCAACAGCCCAAACACCTTCCCACAATAACACTTGACAACAACAGGTGTAAACACTTGTCAAAATACTAGTTACAATTGTTCAGATTCAATGAACTAGCTTCAATGTTCCTATCACAACTATTTGATTCAATGTTCCTACCGTATCTATTGACAAATAAGGCTGGTCCCATAAAACAACTTCACTGACGGAGACCCTTATAATAGACTGTCAACCCATGTACAAATGCACACCGATTATATCACAAGAACAAAGTACTTAAAATGTATAGCTACGCTAATAACTTAAGCAGAATTTCAAGGTTTTTTAAAGGTTAGTTTCCCAACAAACCAAGCACCATTTTAAGTTACAACTCAGATCAGCACATTAGACATATGACCTTGGCTATAATAGAACCTGTATAGGATGCAAACTTTTCTAGGCATCCCATTTAGAACATACCACGTGACTCAGATCCAATGTAATTGTAATAATAAACTTATTAGGTCAAAGACTAGTGCAAGGTTTCAAGATAAACAGGAGTTCCTCAAAATCTTAATGATACAATGTGCGAAATGCATCTCACCTATCCACAATGCCTAGGACAGATTTTTAACAAATTTGTCATAATCAAACTTTCTATCGTGCCAGAAAAGCATAAGCACATAGAATGGCATTAAAAGAAGAGAGAGAACAAATATGCACGAACCAGTGAGCTTAGCCCATACAATATCCCCAGGTTCAGGCTCTTGGCAATCATCCAAGCTGGCAGCTAACACAACCATCTCTTCATAATCACATGCATCAGAATCCATACTTTTAATGCTGTATTTCAGGTTCAACTGCCGCATCTCATTGGGAGACAAATAAAATTTGATCTTCTCATTTGTAAGAACTATATCTTCCTTATCTCCATCCTCATACTTGACCTGCATGTTGTTCAACTCTAATCAGAAAATGTCTATTCTGTGCCACATTCTAGAGACTGGTAATATGACAACTTTTATTAGAGGAACTGCAGTGACCCTACATGATGTTTGTTTGTCTCCGAATCGTACCCCAGAATACTGCCCGTGTACCAATCTGCATCCAATGGCCAAAAAACCTGCGACCCACATGTTTCAGTTAATAAATATTCAAATGGAAGATCTAAATCATCGAATTACAGGCTATATGCTTTAATTGCAAGGTGAAAGGAGATACTCGCCTTGCATTGCAAACCAATGAAGATTTTGGGATCGGCATCGTCAAAAGACAACCTGGTCATGCCATAATTTTAACCCATCAATAAATTTGACCAAGAACGAGTGTAAACAGATAACCGGATAATGACAATATAGCAGTACTAGTAAGTACCCAACTAAATAACCTAAGACGCAAACTCCGAACAACACTTCCAACATGTCATCGACCCACATATGAAAACCTAATCTCATCAAGGGAAAAGTTTGATTAACTAACCTCACCCATCTTTTCTTTGTGGGCAAACCTTTAACGTTGTCTTTGACGCTAGAGTCGCGTTTCTTCCTCTTTCGCTGGTCACAGTAACTGTTGCTATTAGGCTTTCGATTCTCTCTCAACCGAGGTCCACCCATATTGTGCAAGTCACTCGAGCGAACTCCCAATTTTGCGAGCTCGCCACCACCACATTTCCTCTTCTTGCGCGGCGAGGTTTCGGACTTGGATTTAGAGCAATTAATGCCCTCCTCCATGCCCTCATCCATTTCAAAATCCTCACAAAATTCTGTCTTCATAGACAATTTCAACGCGGCCTCGGCACGAGCGACCAATAAATCGAACAATGAGGGCTTATCCACGTCCCAATCGGGCCGCTTAGAGCGGCGACAGTACACGTGGACAAGCGGCGCATTACCTTTCGAGGGCCGTCTCCGAAAACCGCGAAAGCCACCGTCATAAGCCTTGCAGTCCCCGTTGCACATGTGGTCATCACCGGCCCGGTCGTCGAGCTCCTCTTCCGGCCCGTCCGACTGCTCGGCGACGGAGGGGAGCTTCCGGGCCTTGATCTTTTTGGACATTAGCGCGGACGATCCCCGGGCGGCCAGGCAGGGGGTGGTCGCGGAGTAGACCTCGTCCAGGGAGACGTAGCGGACCGGGGTGGCCGTGTGGGCGTCGACGTTGGTGTCGTCTTCCGTGGCTCTCGCCGGAAAAGCCATGGAAGAGCGACAGCAAAATTCCCGAGAAAGACCACAAATTCACCACAAATTCGAAGTGGGTTTCGCCTCTCTTCGCCGAATCTACCTCTACCTCTACCCCTCTCTCTCTCTCGCTCTCTGCGAGCGCAAAGAATCCGACGCGAGCGAAGGGGGAGGAATCGAGGAGCAGGATTTGGGGATTAGGGTTTTGAAGGGGATTGTGGAGGGAGAGCTCTGCGCGAAATGATCCGTTTCCCGCCGCGTGCAAATGGAGAGGGAGAGGGAGAGAGAGAGAGAGAGAGATCAGTCACTCTCAATCTTCTCCTCCTCCTCCTCATTTTTATATACTGTCGCGGTTCCCCCCGGCAGGATGCGCCTGAGGAAAATCGCATGCACGTGTGGAGGCAGAGCTCTTCCCTCTTTTCTCGTGTTTTGGAACATCGTTTGGAGAAAATTAGATTTTGTTAGAACAACGTATGATTAGGTTGTGTATGATCCTTTTTTTTTATTCCACATGAAAATGTGTTTGATGCTGAGGCTGATGTGTGTGGATCGCTTGAAAATCAATTTGTGGCCGAAGGCTTGTGGAAATGTGTGATGCTAGAGAAAGGCCCCTGGTGGGGTGATGGCGACGGCGACGGCGACGGCTGCCAGGTTTGAGCGAGTGGCGGCGGCTTGACTGGATCCGGACAGAGGTATCGGGGAGAGAGAAGCGCGTCTAATGAGCATGGCGGCCGTCGGCGCTTTGTGTCCCTCTCTGTATTGCTGGTCGCACCACCGACGTCCTGGCGGTCACTTGATAGCCAACGACGGCGACAGTACAGGGTTATGGATGCCGTGAAGGCACTGGGAGAGAGAGAGAGAGAGAGAGATGTGTGTGGCGAGCATGACGACCATCGTCGCCTGTTCCCTCTCTCTGTTTCTCGTCGTGCCCCTAGCGTCACGGTGGTCGCACGACCAAGCAGCGTTCGCGCCACCATGGCGGCCCCGATTGCACAACTTAAGAAGATGGCGACTTGGTTCGAGGTGTCTATATTCATGTTATATTTGAATATTTATTGTCGCATTTTGCCCTTATCCTATTCAGCGTAAAAAAAGTTTAGACTATCAAACGCCAACTGTTTCTTATATTGTCTTTTGTCTTTGACCTCATCAAGTAATGCATAGATTATTATGCCTACTTTAGCTTAAACAATATTCTAAGACAAAAGAGCAATACAAAGATGAGGTTTTCTTCACCTCGAGAGAACGAAGGCATTGACCCAGCTTAAGTTTTAACGACTTGAGTTTTGAAACTGTTGGCCACGGTCTCACAAAATTTTCAGTTGATATTGGAGTAGCCGTTGCAGAGTTCAAAAATTTCTAAATCCCTATTTGTCTCTCTTATTTATATGGCTACGTGTTAGTTTCATGCGCGAGGAAGAATATTAGAATAATTTAAATATTATGCGAGTAAAATAGATGTTTATGGTCCGCAAATTTTTTTAAAATAGATGTATGTCTCTCATCCTTACTATTCTACGTTACAGATGCTCCCTTTCATTTTATTGGTGCAAGCACTTATTTTTATTTTTTTATATTTTCTATTAAATTTTACCGTTAAATTGTTGAATTAGATAACACGTAATAGTTGACAGTTTTACCCTCTTTTATCACAAGTGTACTAGTTTGTGGTTTTTCGTGGTATTAATATAAGTTATTGGAAACTAACAAAGAGTAAATTTGTCGGTTTTTTGTGGTTAAAAAATTAGTTTGGGGTAAATTTATCACATGTGTACCAGTTTGGGGTTTTTTATGATAAAAAAAATTAGTTTTGGGTAAATTTGTCATAAGTGTATTGGTTTAGGGTTTTTCATGATATTAACTATTTTTTATAAGTCAAAATTTATGGAAAAAGGAAGATACCAAACATTTCCCCCTTTTTATGATTTTGCAAGGGAAGTTGATAATTGTTAATTCCGTAAAAGGAAATATTCATATCCAATTTCAAGGAAAGTTAATATTTGTTAATACCATAAAAAGCAATACTCTCATACAATCTAGAAAGTTAATAATTGTTAACACCATAAAGGATAATAATTTCAATCAATTTGATTTGAGAATACTCTTTCTAGCCATATTTCCAATTTGTGGGTGATATCCATATTAAATAACTTACCGAGAAATAGGATTGTAGGAAAATATGAAGCTATAACATTCCACTTCTCGAGTTTCAAATTCTATCATCCGTCCTTATCCTGTGTGATGCATATCCAAAAAGACATCTTTTAAGGTAACAAACGGATTTTCTCTTTTACCAATTTTTCTAATGCTAGGGATTGAATGATGGAACGAGGAAGCTATATTTTCATGGAGAGGATGGATTGTCTTACCTTAAACTCACTTTATGAATTTATTTTATTACCCAAGTATGCCTACTTCATTAGATCTCCAATTTATGGTAATAGGAAGATACCATACATTTCCCCCTTTTTATGATTATTTAAGGGAAGTTTATAATTGTTAATTCCATAAAGGGAAATATTCTCATCCAATCTCAAGGAAAGTTAATAATTGTTAATACCATAAAGGTCAGTACTCTCATACAATCAGAAAGAAATTTAATAATTTTTAGTACCATAGACGGTAATATTTTCATACAATCTGATTTGAGAAAACTCTTTCTAGTCATATTTCCGATTTATGGGTGATATTCATATTAAATAACTTACCGAGAAATAGGGCCGTGGGAAAGTATGGAGCTACCATAAATGAGTACATTCCACTTTCTGAGTTTCAAATTCTATCCTCCATCCTTATCCTGTGTGATGCATATCCAAAAAGACATCTTTTAAGGTAACAAATGGATTTCTCTTTTACCAATTTTTCTAATCTTAGCGATTGAATGATGGAGCGAGGAAGCTGCTCTTTCATACTACCCTAAACTCAATTTATGAGTTTATTTTATTGCCCAAGTATGCCTACTTCACTAGATCTCTAATTTATGGTAATAGGAATATACCATACATTTCTCCATTTTTATGATTATGCAAGGCAAGTTGATAATTGTTAATTCCATATAGGGAAATGTTCCCATCAAATCTCAAGGAAAGTTAATAATTATTAATACCGTAAAGGGTAGTATTCTCCTAGTATCGGAAAGAAAGTTAATAATTTTTAGTACCATAGAGGGTAATATTTTCATACAATCTGATTTGAGAAAACTCTTTCTAGTCATATTTCAGATTTATGGGTGAGATCAATATTAAATAACTTACCGAGAAATAGGGCCGTAGGAGAATATGGAGCTACCATAAATGAGTACATTCCACTTTTTTAGTTTCAAATTCTATCCTCCGTCCTTATCTTATGTAATGCATATCCAATTCGTATCCAAAAGGACATATTTTAAGGCAACAAATGGATTTCCTATTTGACCAATTTTTCTACTATTAGGGTTTGAATGAGGGAGCGAGGAAGCTACTTTTTCAAGAAGACCATGAATTGTCTTACCTTAGACTCACTTTATGAATTTATTTTATTGCCCAAGTATGCCTTCTTCACTAAATCTCCAATTTATGGTAATAAGAAGATGCCATAAATTTCGCCCTTTTTTATGATCATGCAAGGGAAGTTGATAATTGTTAATTCCATAAAGGGGAATATTCCCATCCAATCTCAAGGAAAGTTAATAATTGTCAATACCATAAAGGGCAATACTCTCATACAATCAGAAAGAAAGTTAATAATTGTTAGTACCATAAAGGGTTAATTTCATACATTCTGCTTAGAGAAAACTCTTTCTAGCCATATTTTCGATTTGTGGGTGATACCCATATTAAATAACTTACCAAGAAATAGGACTCTAGGAAATATGAAGCTACCATAAATTAGTACAATTCCACTTCTTGAGTTTCAAATTATATCCTCCATCCTTATCTTGCGTGATGCATATCCAATTCGTATCCAAAAAGACATCTTTTAAGGTACCAAATGGATTTCTTTTTCTACCAATTTTTCTAATGCTAGGGATTGAATGAGCGAGCAAGAAATTGTCTTACCTTAAACTCACTATATGAATTTATTTGATTACCCAAGTGTGGCAATTTCACTAGATCTCTAATTTATAGCAAAAGGAAGATACCATACATTTCCCCCTTTTTATTATTATGCAAGGGAAGTTGATATTTGTTAATTTCATAAAGGGAAATAATCCCATTAAATCTCAAGGAAAGTTAATAATTGTTAATACGATAAAAGGCAAAACTATCATACAATTTGAAAGAAAGTTAATAAATGTTAGTACCATAAAGGGTAATATTTTCATATAATCTTATTTGAGAAAACTATTTCTAGCCATATTTCCGACTTGTGGGTGATATACATATTAAATAACTTACCAAGAAATAGGGTTGTAGGAAAATATAAAACTACCACAAATGAGTACATTTCACTTCTTGAGTTTCAAATTTTATCCTCCGTCCTTATCATGTGTGATTCATATTTAATTCGTATCCAAAAAGACATATTTTCAAGGTAACAAATGAATTTCCTCTTTTACCAATTTTTATAACGTTTGGGATTGAATGAGGAAGCGAGGAAGCTAATTTTTCAATGAGAGGATGGATTGTCTTACCTTAAACTCACTTTATGAATTTATTTTATTGCCCAAGTGTGCCCACTTCACTAGATCTCCAATTTATGGCAATAGGAAGATAGAATACATTTCCCCCACTTTTTTTTATCATGCAAGGGGAGTCGGTAATTGTTAATTCCATAAAGGGAAATACTCCCATCCAATCTCAAGGAAAGTTAATAATTGTTAATATCATAAAGAGCAATACCCTCGTACACTCTGAAAGAAAGTTAATAATTGTTAGTACCAAGAAGGTAATAATTTCAATTAATTTGATTTGAGAAAACTCTTTCAAGCCACATTTCCAATTTGTGGATGATATCCATATTAAAAACTTAGGAAGAAATAGTAGGAAACTATGAAGCTACCATAAATGAGTACATCTCCACTTCTTGAGTCTCAAATTCTATCCTCCGTCCTTATCCTGTGTGATGTATTTCACTTCGTATCCAAAAAGACATCTTTTAAGGTTGTCGCGCCGCACTTTTGGTGCGCTAAGGAAGTACTTCCATTTATCATGAATGGAAAACTGTCCCCGAATGGGCTATTAAGATCCGATACAGATATTTCGCCCAACGTCCCACAGACATCCCATCACTAGACAAACGGGGGTTTCTCCCAGACCATACCTCACGTGACAGCGGGTTATAATTTTTATCTTTCTATTCAATCTAAGTTTTCA